TTTGCATTCTGTCTTCAAAATATATTCCGCGATAATCTGACGAACGGGATCCCACAACCACTGCGCTCTCCTCATTGGCACGCCCAACCCTTTCCGCACCGTGTTATGACGAGAAACGCACCGATGATGGAGCTACTATGATGATGAGAGCCCGCCCATTCGATTATCGCGGAATATATTTTGAAGACAGAATGCAAACGACCTTTTTCACCGTATTTTCCGGGGTATAAAGTGCACAAATGTACAGGGCGCGCCTTAAGGTCGCGGGTTTTTTCCAGGTTCCACATCCGCGTTTTTTTTACTTGTTCTTATCTAATTGAGTGAGCTATTCTCAATATTCGAGTGCAATTAAAAGACCAGAATATGCAGTTGCAAAAAAGAGGGCAGGAGGAGTACTGATGTACTGTACATTTCGCTACTGGGCAGAGCGCAAAGAAGCAGTGTTGTCTCTGCATCACTGACCACGGTAGACCTACTTGGATCAGAGAAGCAGACAATCTTTTGAAATACTCTGAACATTTGTTAATTTTTGATCCAAACGTCTTGAAATGAGATTTCAATTCGTAAGTAGAGAAAAACATAGCAGTATTTTACCTCGGAAGACAAACATCCATTGCGTCCCATAGTAACACTTGGAAACAATGTTGAGTACCCATTTTTCGTATGGTTTTCAAATGGATTGAGGTGAGAAACCTGAAAAACCGGCTAGCTAATAACTGGCTCTATGTTCATCAAAATTTCGTGGCAGTTCGGCTTGGAGGGGGCATTTTGCTGCTTTGCTACTTCCTATCGTCGAGTTCATTGCTTGACTAGAATTCATGGGCATAGGCATTTTCTACAAGAGCTGACAAGTAGTTTCTACAAGCTCGTATCACTTCATGATTTCACAGATTTCGCAGATCTCTACTCGATGGCTCGACAAGACGATGTGAAGTAGCGAGGGTGCAAAATGCCCCCCCCCAAGCCCAACGGCGTCGGATTCTTGCCTGTTTTGCCGAATTTCGTCAAGTTTTCAAGTTTTCTGGAGCGGTCAGCCCCAGAAACACTCCGTCTGACAAATTCCACACTTAAACTCGCATCGCTCGACGTTTATTCTCTTAGAATAATACTGGGAGGGGGGGGGATAATAATAGGGTGCGGGCCAGAGACGCGAGTTGTGGCGTCACATAGAGAATAGCGCGAATTGTGCGCCGTGAACTTGGTAGTTCGCTTGGCTTACCGTTGTGCTGTCGCTTCAGGATCACATTAGGATCTTGAACGAGGGGTTGCAAACGGGAGTTGTCTACAATCTTCTCCCCCCCCCCGTTTGACGGAACAGCTTGGTGAGATGATCGGTCGGTTGTGAAAGAAGATCGCACCGGAGGGGAGAATCTGGGAGGAGGTAACATTCACCGGAACACTCCCAACGACAGACCTGTACAAGACAATACAGTGCTGGTGCGAATGCCGCGCACACAAGCTGCATGCGACGATACTTTGGCCGTGTTGCCATAATACGGACATCCTGACTCACACTCGCTTCCAGGTGAGGAGCAATAACTATATTTTTTAGGCGACTACTGAATTAACGGCCAAGGAAACAGCCGTGTAATGCAATACTCTCTTACCTTGTGCAAATCAACGTCGTATTGATGACGATAAAGACATTCAGGCACTAATAAGCTTGGAAGGGGCATTGAAAAACTCTTTGTGCGAAACTGGGATCAACGCCTTCACCCACCCGGAACTCTGTTCTCACTGCAGGCCTAGGCAAAACTCGTGACCCTGCAACCCTAGTAATTCAAGTCTTGCACAAAAGGGTCCTTGAATGTCCCCTCCAAGGTTATCAGCGCCGAAAATCAACGAAACTTACCTTCAATGGCTTCGGGCAGTCAGCCCACGTCGGTCGAATTTTCGGCTTCGACAACGGCTCACGATCGAGGACTGTCCATACTGATTGCACCGGTCGCAGAACTAATTGGCTGAAAAAGAACAGTTGACTGGATTTTCTCTGGAGAAGAACTCCTGGGCATTTTTATCCAATCCAGTACCTATTTCGATCTATTCTATTTGAACCCACCAATAAAGTAAAACGTTAAGGAACTAAGAGCTACAGGTACTGCTTCACCAGCCTGACTGCGTTTGGGAGGGCTCAACCTCCCGCAGAATAGTGTTAACTACTTGGTTTCACACTCATTTTCATAGTGGAGAAAAACCTATGTTAACGCACAGCAAATTACAATGTAGGACAATTAGGACGCAGTTCGGCTTCGGGAGGGGGGGAGGTCGGTGGGAGGCAGTTTGCATTTTCGATAGTTCCCGTTCCATTACGCGTCCCACGGTGGTAAGACCTTATGTGCCTTCATCAAGTGTCGAAAGAGCTCGTGCAAATGCATAGCTTTACAGGAATTCTGCAAGTTTCCACAGAAGCATCGGCAGTGGTCGATGAGAACAAGCAAAATGCCCCTTTCTAGTACCGACAGCGGCTCTGAGTCTGCGTGATACCCCGCATCTACGACGCACTAACAGATATTCGTATGCGTCGATAGCCACAAATAATATGGGAACCGGCCCTTTTTCAGCTACCAGTTATTAATGGTGTAGCCAGCTTATAAAAAGTACATGTTATGGAACAGGAAACGTCACAGTTATTTAAAAAGATCCACAGAATAACGAGACAACATGCGTGAATAAACCTGTCAAGATGGTGGTGAGGGTTGTTTTTTAGGACTGGAAAGATTAAGGACATACAATCGTATGTTAGGCAACGGACAGCGAAGGGGCTGCGCTTCGTTGATACCGACAGATTCGAAGCGCAGACGGACAAGGTTTCTGATGCAACAGTCGCATAGCTCGTCCAAGAGAAAGAATTAGCTTCGATTCGTGCTTCTAAAAAATAGATCATATGGGGTATGAGTAGTAGGTATACCAGATACTCTATAAGTAATTTTTCTACGAAAAAAATCACAATGGAAAAGTGAAGAGAACATAGTTCATTGAACTTAAAAAAAAATTTCAAAAAAAATTTAAAAAAGCTTAAAAAATTTCAAACAAATACATATTCAATTTAAGAAAGGACAAAACTAACAGGCGAGAAAATAAATCAACAAGAAGGAAAAACTTACTGGATATGCGTAAAAAAGCTGAGTAAAGAAATCAAAAGAGAAAAGATAAAAAAATGAGATAGGGAAAGAGACGATACGGTCCAATGAAAGGTCAGTGACGGAGAGCGCCACTTAGAAATCAGAGAATGGACGCAAGTCTAAGACAAGAATCGAGAGCTCGCACTACGCAATCAATAGCATTTCGGGGGTGTCACCAGTGAGACAAATATCCTATTATAATGAAAAAAAAGAGACAATACAACACAATGCAAAGAGGAGAGGAACAATTATGAAAAAGGATAAATAATACACAACCGAAAACAAAAATAAAGCAAAGAAAAAAAATGAGAAGGAATAAGGACGAGATGAACAAAACACAAAACATCACAGCCAATCCTAATCAAGAAAGAAAAAAAAAACCCAATATGTGACCTGTAACTTGAAGAACGCGATCAGAGAGGAGAGAGAAGATAGAGATAGAGATAGATAGACGATAGAATAAAGGGGCGACCGGGAGAGACGGGCCAACAACTTACACAATCGAAGGAAAGACAGTCGTATGCAAAGAGACGCATAACAGGAAGCGGGCCGTTGAAGAGTTTTTCAAGCCTCGCGCGGAGTTATCGCCATCCAATCTTTAAAGATAACGAATAGTGATATATGAGAGAGAACTAATATATAACCAATTATCTGCTCACGAAAGGACACTATCATATCGAAACGAAAAGGAGAAAAGAGAAGAAAAAAGGATGGGGTGGCGGGGGGGCGCGCTGCGAAGGAGCCAGCTCTGACACTTGTGCCCCTCCACGCGCTAGATGTCTCGTATTTTTGCAGAAGGAAGGGAGCTTCGAGGTAGGGGGAGCCCTACTAGCACAATTCCGACCCTCCCAGAAGAATTGTTTCACTCTCCCTTCTGAAACTCCCTCGCTTCTTACGTCTCTGTCAGCGTTACCGGCTGACGCTATTGCAGAATCTTACCCTCGAGCGCCCAATAGCACGCGTTGGCAATAGCACAGCCCTGGCAGATCATTGCCAACCTACCTACCTGGCGGCCAGGCCGCGCTAAATGAGACGGGTACTTCATGACCACTGGTTAAAACCACACTAGTGGCGCTGTGCGGCTCTGGGACGGCATTGCACTGTGGCTACGTTTTCTTTAGACAGTTTATTGTTAATAACCGATAACATTCTTTCGTGGCATTTGTCAACACCTTCTGTGCAGCTGACGAAATCCTATGCGCAGTTAACACATCTTGGTACGCCACTCCCAGCCGACTCGACGCCCCCAATCACTCAACAGAAGCCCTGACGGGAGTGAGGAAGGGGGAGGGGTCCGTGGCGGCTTCACATTCACGATACAAAGCGCATTTCCCGACCGAAACACACCAGGGGTCGGAACGGACAAGTCTCGGCCGTCCCATAACATCCCTATTTCCTATAAAACTTTGTAACGAACCTTTGAGCTTCACTTTACACACCCTCCCAGAAAAGGCTTTGATAATTGATGGGCTGCGTTAAGCGACTCGGCTTTGATCGATGACTTCGAGCCAAAAAGGGCACGTGCTGCTGTTCGAGAACAAGTTTACAGAATACGACCCCCTCAAAATGTTCGCCTCTGGTACAACCACCTTCCGCACCCCCGATCCCCAACGTATCATCTTCCTGAACCATCCCATCCTTCACTTTCTACAGTTTTCTCTAAAAAAACTGTCGATGAACGGAGAGGGAGCAGGGGTAAGGGGGTAGCGCCAGTGGAACGATATAAAAAACCAAGAAGAGCCAGCCTCGCTGGGAAGTTCCCAAGCGGAGAAGTTGTAGAAAAGATAAAAATGAATAAGCAATGGAGAAAAAAAAGAAAAGACGGAAAAGAAAACCTCTAGGGATACCTGTGTAAGTGTATGATCACTCCGCGACGAGTGGAGCCGTCGTGCAGTACAGTAATCCATCTGGAAAAACACGTAATGCTCCAGTGTTTTCTTTGAGTATTACCCCCATAGTTACCCAGAACCGGCTTTTGTACTTCTTTTCTTCGAAACATTACTGTAGTCGCTGGCAAATCGGCTAGGGAAACAGCGAATGTGGGATTCTCACCTTCTTAGGAAACTCTTCTTTCAAATAATTATTATTTCTCCATTCAAAGCCATGAGGCAAGTCTGGTAAGGGGGGGGGGGTGGTGAGTGGGCATCATTCAATGACTCATCTCAAAACTGGGTAATCTAATGAGGTACAAGTAAACGAGAAGAGAACCACGGCAAGGACATTCTGCGATAACAGAATGGGCGGTGACAGAAGAACTATTACGCCCTGCTCATGCCTTCCATTGGACGCATTATTTTCTTATTTGGTAAAATCGGTACGCTCAACCCAGTCCTAGACAAAATAAGCAGCTCACAACGGAAACACAACATCTCTAGAGTAGAACCAATGGGTAGAACAAGGCGCAATTCCACTGCGGTTGGATATTTTGGTGCAGTAGTTCGTGTGAGTTATGGTAGTCGCAATTTTGCACAAAGAGTCCTCCAAAATATGAAAAACTGCAAGATGATACGAGCTTCAATTATACGCCGTTTCCTCGGACTTTTTGGCGCTGTTTGCATAGGAAGGCGGGGGGGGGGGGTCTCGTTAGTTTTTTTTGCTGGTTTCTGTTGAATTGAACGTCTCACTTTCCTAAGACCTGTAAATCCTTAGGTGTAGACGAAGTTCCTGCTATGATGCAGCTTTACAGGGACTTACAGGCGGGGTACATTGTGTAAAACACATGGGGGGGGGTCGTACTTGGACGCTGGGGAGGAGTGGTCGTGTTTGGTCGTTGTTGGGGGAGAGGCTCGCATGTATTTGAGAGAAATTTACCGCGTTGGGAGAATTTTTTCCCGGTTGTTGGTTTTTCGCGGTTTTTCCCGTTTCACATTGGCATATCCCCCTTACCCACCCCTCCCCCACTCGACGGAAAGTTTTCGGGTGAAAAAACTGGAAGATGTGAGGAAATTTTGGAAAAACTGGTAGAAAGCTGGGAACTTGTAGGAAAGTGGTGGTAGGTGCTGGGAAGGGGGGGGGGCAAACCGAGATCCTCCCACGAGAGGGTGGGCCGCACTAACACCACCATTTCACACATCACGATGCTGTACAGATCGTCACAGAAGACATTGGCAGTGATCGATGGGGACCCGCTAAATGCCCCCACCAAGCCGCCCTGCGCCATTCTTTTCGGGTTAGACGTCATACACTCGTAGAAGAAGTGAAGAGGCGGGTTATAGAAGTGAGTATTCCTGCCAATAAGGATAAACCTAGGGGGCTTGCGATGGTTTTAAATGCTCAGGGTGCTCTGCGCCAAAGTGCCCAATCCATTGTCATCAGCACTGCTTGCAATCAGTGCTAAAGCCGTCGTCGGACAAATGGGCGTATTTGGGCAGCTAGAGCCAACAACCTAAGCGAGGACTACTGTCCAAGCATTGAGATGAGTTGGCAGTGATACTCAGTGACGGGGAAAAGCGAAACGAAGCGGACCACACATGAAAAGGGAAACCAGTAGCCAAGCCGATTACCCTTAATACATTCCTCTGTTCAGGAGCGTCGCACCGACTCAGGGCCGCCTCGCTATGTCGGGCGCTATCCGGTTCTGATCTTGGGGACGGGCGCGCGCTTGCATAGCACAAAA